TTATACTATACTAAAAGGTAGTTCTTACTTATAATAATAAGAAATAGTAGAATCTATATATTATCTACTACTCTTACTATTATAATTACTAAAATTTACTTATAATTATCTAGTTAAAGACTCTTTAGTTATAATTATCTTTTAGAGCTAGTAACTACTATCTAAGATAATATTATTTTTATTATAAAGCTAGATTTATTAAAATTATATATATCTTTATTAGTAATACTATATTTTACCTTTATATTACCTACTAGGTTAAACTACGTCTAAATAATTATAGAATCTTTTTACTTTACTTTTTAATAGTTATACTTATAATTAAGCTACGTTTTAAGCTTAGAATAGTATATAATAAAGTTATTTAGCTAGTTCTTATCTATAACCTTTCTCTCTTACTTAGTAAGTAGCTTATTAGCTATATCTTAAATAGTAGTAAGCTAGAAAGTAAATTCTTACGTATCTAGGTCTAGTATATACTTAACTATTATCTACTCTTTATTTATAGTAAGCTTTATTAAATTAAATATCTTTTTATATTATAGAGTAATTTTATTACGTTAACTATAAACTTTCTTTTACTTTATATTATAGAGAGCTATAGTATACTATAAGCTTAGCTTTAGATTTTATTAAATAGTCTAAAGTGTAAGCTATATCTAGAATTTATCTAAAGTTAATTAGATATTTATAGAAAGCTTTATAATAGAAATAGTAGTATTTAGTAGAAACTTAGTATTTTTAAGAGGTTTATTTATATAGAGAGTTTATTTTTAAAGTATATTATATATTATAAGCTAATATATATTATAAGCCTTTTATATATTTAAAAGTAATAATTTTAAAATATTTTTAGTATCTTTTTATCTTTCTATACTATAATATACTTTATAAGTAAGCTAGCTATATAAGTAAGTTAGCTACTTTTACTAAGCCTTTACTAAAAAGCTACTATCTTATTCTAATTTCTCTAGCTCTAAGCTACTTAAGATAAATCTAGATAAGCTATTTAACTTATCTATATTATCTTTAACTATCTAGTACGTTTACGCGTTATACTCTAGCTTACTATAGCGTCTATAGCGTTACTAAGCTAGCTAGCTATTACGTGCTACTACCTCTTTATACTACTTTTTACTTTTATTCTAATCTATAGCCTCTCTTTAAGTAACTAGCTATAAGCTAGCTTTAATTATAAGAGTATTCTCTTTCTAAATTTACTTTCTTTTATGCGAATTATACTTCTTTTTCTATATATTAGC